GCTGCGAGCTGCCCGCCGAGTGGCGCCCGCTCAGCGAGGGCTGCCGCGCCGAGCTCGCCGCCATCATCGTGTACGCGCGGGTGCTCGCGCTGCACCCCGACCCCTACGGCGCCTACAACTACCTGCCCTGGCAGCGGCGACCCCCCGGCGGCGGCGCGCAGGGCGCCGGAGGGCTCTTCTACTCGGCCGAGATCGAGCTGCTGTGCGACCAGGCGTGGGGCAGCATGCTGGAGGTGCCCGCCGGCTCCCGCCTCAACCTCACCGGCCTCGGCTACTTCTCGTGCCACTCGCACACCGTGCTGCAGGGCTACGCTTACTTCTTCTTCCTGCGGTGAGTGGCGCGGGGATGCTCCGAGTGCCCCCCGTGCAACAGCCCCTGCGTGGCCCGGGGGTGCTCAAAGTGCCCCCTGCGCAGCGGCCCCTGCCTGGTGTGGGGATGCTCAGAGCCCCCTGGTCCTTACGGGAGCGTCCCGGGTTGTGTTTCAGGATGGATGAGAACTACATCCTCCTCCCTCACGGTGTGAACTTCCAGGAAGCGATATTCCCCGACACGCAGGAGAACAGGAGGACGTTCTCCAGCCTCTTTCAGTTTGCCAACTGCTCGCAGGCACAGCACTCCCTGGGCTTTGCCAGCGACTGGGAGATCCAGGAGGACAACCGGGTAAGGGATGCAGACGTTGCCGCGTGGTTGGTGTATCCCAGTGTGCGTGGTTGAGATGAGCAGATCCTGATTTTCCCGGTCCTTGGGCAGCATGCTGTTAGGGAGACGATGAATTCTTGTTTCCAAAGCTGATCTCTGTGGTAACTCTTGAACTTTCTGAGCAAAGTCCCACGGTCTTGCTCATGAGCTGGAACTGGCACCCAGCGTTGCCATTCTGGTCTGAGCGGGTTCTTGCTGATTTTGGCTTTTGCAGACCCCCTACTCTGACCCCATCTGATATGGGCTTTGCTTCCACACTTCTGTGCCCGTTTGTACTGGAAGTTGTGTGTTTGCTGGGGCCATGACAAGCTGTAAGGGATTGCTCTAAGCATCTGCTTCCAAACTTTTTCCCTGAGCCCTCCATAGTCCTTGAGGGTGCAGTTCATGCACACGGATGTTGGCACCTCCTTCAGGGCAAACCAAGTGAGGTGCCAACTTCTGCTCTCCAGGGAGACCCCCGAGGAGCAGTTCACTCCATAGGCTTATGGCCATTTTTCCTATGGAAAGTCCACTGGTTGCAGGGGCTTCTGAGCTTTTGGGGAACATGCCAAATGAAACAAATGCAGACTTTAATAAACAGCACCTCAGCAGCGAGGAGCAATGGGCAGTACATGTGTACACGCATGCTGTGTGTGCACATACACCAGAGGAACTGTGCAAGTCCTTCCTTTTCACACCCTGCTTTACGAAGCCGGCAGTTCCCACAAGTTGCTTAGAACATTTTAAGCACCTCTAGGTGGGACGTTCACCATTGCTTGCATCTCCTTTGCTGTTGCATCGTGCGAGGCAGCAGCATTTCAGTGCAGGAGCTTTGGAGACTTCTTTGGGAGACAGATGGGGAGGCTCTGGAGCTTGCTGAGGACTTTCGTTTTGCAAACTGGCCCATGGCCAGCATGTGAAGTTGGAGTTGCCGGTTTGCTGGTGGAGAACCCCAGCCCCTGCCGCCTCCCCAGCCAGCCCGCAGGTTTCCCAGCGCCCCAGGGCTATGGATTTGGCAAGGAAGGGAGCCAGCACTGCCAACGCTGCAGCTTGTGCTCTGGAGGAGCAAAGCAGCCCCTGGGGACTTGCAGAGTCCAGCTCCCAGGCTTGCTCCACAATGTCTGCGCACTGCTTATTTAGCCACACCGAGCTAAATACAGGGGATCTTGATGGATCGGTGGTCAGCTCATGCCAGCAGTGAATCCCGCCTGCCAGCTCTAATGGAAATCACAAGGCAGGAGCCCCCAGGGTGAGTGTGGGCAACCTAAAGCATATGTAGCAAAAGTGCATTTCAGCTGTTCTGCGCTTTGACCCCGCGCAGCTGTGAGCGGATTAGGGTGGAATTACAGCTGCTTGTCACAGCCTGGGCTTTTAAATGCTTTGACACACACATGGCGAGGGGATAAAACCAGTGCAGCGGACGGCTGCTTTGTCTCCCCTCTGCCTTGCTGTGCGATGAACATTAAGAGCTTCCTCTGCAGTTAAGAGAAGTTGTGGCCAGCACTGGATATTTGGAACATTTTCCCTGTGGTGAATGGATGCCCTGGTCCTTTCCAGAGTGCCCGTGTCCTGGGTGCAGCTCCCAGTGCTCAATGTTTTGCCCATTACTTTGCAAGCTTAAGCAATGACATCGGCTTTCCCCGTCGCCTGGGACCCAGGGGTGTTGCTGACTGATGGTCAATCTGTCCCTGGTGTGTTTTGGGAAGCTGCAGAGGGGATGCCAAGATCCTCAGTCTTGAAGGCAGCAGGACCATGGGCTGCTCTGAAGGGTTAATAAACGAGATCCAGGAGACAAGGGAGTCCTGGGATAAGCAGATGTCTTTTACACAAAGTCACATCGCTCCCAGTGTCCTGAGAGACACCTGGATGTGTCCGAGCTGAATCTGGGACCAAGGAGCCCAGGAACATCGCTGTCCCCTGCTCGCTGCCAGGGGCGTTTGGGCAGAGGCTGCATTGCTCCCTGCAGGCAAACCTCGACATTTGTAGCATGTAAGACCCTCCTTTTGCATATGTTTTTCCCATAGCTGTGATCAAAGCTTGGCTCTGCTCGGGTTTGTACACATCGGCCTCCCCGGGGCGGTTGCTAAAGCCTCTCGCCCCCCACCCAAGCTCCTGGCTTGGAGCTGGCACCACCCCACAGCTGTGATCAAAGCTTGCAGACCCTTGGCTCTGCTCGGGTTTGTACACATTGGCTTCCCTGAGGCGGTTGCTAAAGCCTCTCGCCCCCATCCAAGCTCCTGGCTTGGAGCTGGCACCACATTTGTATTGCGATGCCAAAACTCTGCCCCAGGCCGCCAGGGGGTCATCTGAAGCAGAGTGACGGGCCCTGTTTGCAGCGTGCCCGGGTCCCTGGCCTGGCCAAATGCCAGGGTTGATGTCCGAGGAGAGCATAACATAGAAAATCTCATTTTTTCCCACTTTGGAGTTAGCATGGTATCGACTTTTCCCCCTTCTCTTGTAAAAATGCCACATTTACCTCAACAAGGAATCTTGCAGCCACAGCAATCCTTTTTCATAAAACACTTTTATTTTTTTTTAAAAAAGGAGCAATTAAAAAGCAATGGAAACCCCATTAAAATTCTTAAAAGCTCTGTATTTTTATCCAAGTCTCACGTGGACCCCCCCGAGGGAAAGCCCACAAAGGTTAATGCTTGTTGAGGGCCCCATTGATGGGCTCATTTGGTGCTGTATCTGCCGTAGCTGAGATTTGGGCCGAAATCCTGCTTTGCTGTGTGGATGCCAATCCTGCCGGTCTCATTGCTCTTCCCTGACTTGTCTTTCCACAGGGTTAGCTGCAATCCCTTAAGTAAGTCCCTCTCGCCCTGTCTGCAAGCTAAGGATTAGGAACCCGAAGTGACTCAAGGTCTGGTGATGTCGAGGGAGGAGGTGTCAAATAGCGCTCATGGTTATTCATTATTTAGAGGAGATTTAACTTGTAGTTTTGGCAACATGTTGGTAGCGTAACTGGAAGTATATTTGGGTAATAAAAAAGCCTTTCTGTGAATTGCGTCCCAAATAGAAACCTAGGCTATTACATGTTAGCAAGGTAACTAAGTCTACAAGTGTCTGCTTAGCATCTTAGGGTCTCCTCTTCAGGACTCTTGGACTGCTTCAACATGTGTCTGATGATCTGATTACAACACCTGGAGCAATTAAAAAGCCCACCAGATGAGAAAAGCAATGCAATTGCATCGTTGTATTTCCTATTGCAGAAATTGAATTCCTGATTTGTCCAAGCCAAGGGGAGGTCTTCCTCATCTTCCTGACAAGGTTCCAAGGATTGGATACATTTCTGTGTCCCATTTGCTTGGAGCATGGCTGCTTCTGCTCCTGGAGAGGGGAAAAGGAGAGATAAATTTGAATGATCGTCCTTTAATTTTTTGGATTTTTCTAACTTCGGGTCTAAAGAGTGATTAAATAGTATCATAGCTAGAAGGTACACCTAGGTGCCTACTGGAGACATTCCTGGGATGCTCCAGCTCTGCTGGAGATGAAGAAGAGAGCTGGCTGGTCCCAGGCATCACGGCATCCTCCATATGAGACTAGAGAAATAGAATATATTCTCAGCTTAAAGCACTTCTCTGCATTCAAGGTAAGGCAAAATGACCTCAAAATAATTGAAAGTAGAGCCTCTACCTAGGGGGTTGATATTCTTTTTTAATAATAGGTGCCCTGTCATTTGTTAGGAGTATTGTTGCTTCATTAGCCTGATAGCATGACTTAAAGTTCACATCATTTCTGGGGTTTAAACAGTGATTTTCAGTCCTTTTGTTTTTCCCACAGCAATCCACCCAGACACAGTGTGCCCTCTTCCTACAATCTGCATTTAATTTGAATAAATGTAGGCAGTATTAGATGAAATGGAGAGCTGCTGACATGTGTCTGAGACATGAGGAGACAACGAGACAGTTGAGATGTTTGGGTAACATCCCAAGAGTCTTTTGGCATGGAAATGGCATTGACTCATTTCCAAACATTCCCACCCAGCTTGGTGGGGTTCACAGAAGGCTGATTGGCATCTCCCGATCCATTTTCTGTTCTCCACATGCACACAGGCTGCTAAGATATGGGATAGAGAAACATGGAGGAATATAAAATAATCCTAGCCATGAGACTTTTCCATTGCTACAATGCATTTATAGTACCCAGAAAATACTCTGAATGCTTCACAGGAAGGAAATGGGTACATTTCTCTATTGGGTGGGATTTTTAGAATGCCTAATAGAAATATTCCAAGTGTTTATTTCTCTATCAGGAGGCTAGTTGGCTGTCTTAGTATTGCAGTGGGTGCAGGATAAGGTAAGGAAAGTCTCAAATCGGTGTCCCAGCTCTGTTGAAGGAGCTTAGATAAACTTGTCCCTTTTCAGCCAGTGCAGACCACTCCAGACCACAACTCTCTTTGGGAGTCAACTAATACCACAGATGCATTAAAAATCATGATATCCCCAAAAATATTCAATTTCCAGCCTGCCAGTCAAGGAAATGCCTAGACGTCCATGCATATGTACGCACACAGCTCCTGCCTCCTCCATCCAAGCTCTTGGTCTGTCTCCTCCATCCACATGCTCGTAGGCAGTTGGAAGACCTACAGCTAAGCATGAATCCTGCCGCAGTGTTTGCTCCACTGGACAAGGCTTTTTCTCCAAGCCCCTGACCGCTGATTCTTAGCCAAGGCCTAAAGCAACTTGTTTGCCGATAGTGCTGGAAAAATGCAACTACCTACATGGGGCTGATGGAATAATATGCAGGACAAGCTGGTTGACTCTGCTGTTGCCTCAGGTCAGGTAGGAGAGATGAAACTTTCAATGAGCCAGTCATGGTGCCTCCAAGTGTTTGGGAGAGGTTGGGGTGGGAGACACCTCCTCTAGGAAGGGGAATGGAAATTAGACTGTTGGGCACAGGGGAAAGTGTTTAGTTTTAAAACATTTCAGCAGTTCTTGCTCCACATTTCAGACTGATTTTATACTGTTAAAAATAGTGAG